AGTGATCAAAGAATCCAGCCGCACTCCACTCATAAGATGGCTGCACGCTCGGTTCCATGACGGCTGCAATGCCCACGGAAGCAATCACACGAGAAAGAGACATCAAGGAAAGCTTGGCCGACATGGACATGTTGCTGAAGCCCTTCAATTTGGCATCTGAGAGCACGGCAGCATAGCAAGAAACGCCGACTTTGAAAAGAACCATGGCCTCGGCTGATTTCTTTTGCGGCTACTTCTTCCAAACCTGCACTTGTGCAGCCTGTGATAAGAACCACAGCCCGACTCAGCTAAGTTTTGGACGACACCCATCAAAGGAATGCCAGACTCGCCATCGGAGCTGCCGGAGTCAACCATGACAAAGGCGCTGATGGCCAAGGTGGCTGCAATCAGCACATTCCACTGGAGGTCGCCTCAGAGCTCATTCGCAGCACTGCAGCACACTTCATACGAACCACCACGGGCCCACAATGGGTCTTTCTTGAGACGAACCAGAGTGTGTGGCCCGCTTTTTGCAATGCATACTTCAGCTGTCTCTCGGATCCGGGCACAACAAAATCAGCCAAGCCACTCTGGGTAGTGCCCTTCAGCTGCTTCATCATCACTGCGGTGATCAAGAGCTTGGACTGAAGCAAGAGCTGATAGAGACCACCGGTCATGGCACCCATGGAAAGCATTTCCAAGAAGTCGCCAAAGGCATACCAAAGACCTTACTCGGCTGGCGCCAACGAAGGAGGAGGGGTAGGTAGGTAGGTAGGTGTTCTTTGTTCGGGAAAAATTGAAACAGCAAAACAGCATCAAAAGCCAGCAAAGAGAATCAAACGAGTAGAATTGAGCCTCGAGACCAATGACGATGAAAATCGAAGCACCCTTGGGAATTTGCCAGCATGCTTTCACGCCCTTCATTCCCTCCTCCTGCCAAGCCAAGAAGTTCACGAAGAGCATAGATAAGAGCTGGCTCATGATTGCAGGAGAATTCTTGGAATAGAGCATCTTTCCATCCTCCTGCATGTGTGAAGCATATGCCAACATCCCAGAAATTTCATTGCATGTTTTGATGGCAGTTGTTGGGAGCTGGAACGTAGCCCGTTTACACATTCGAGTATTGCATTGTATATGAATCGACAGTTTCGAAGAGCAATCTGACAACATGCATTTGGCCCTCTCAGTGAATTCCCCTAGAAACACTAGGCAAGCTGGCTCAAGAAATCGTTTCGTTCATCCACCTTGGAGTAGTCGATGACCATGGGATGCAACGCACGGGAGAGCACGAAGATGATGAAAATGCCCATGGTTCCCTTGGCCGCCTCACCAGCCATGCTTGCTGCGCCAAATGGGGCTTAGCAGCTAAAAACGAATGCGAGCAAAAAGCTGCGCGAATCGTCGGACCTGGTCGGCTTCGATAAGATGCCAAACAGGACCAATGGGACTGTACAACCAATAGGTTGAGGTAATTATGTTAGCGATATTGTTGAGAAAAATGAAGCAATCAAGGACTTTTTGGGACTGTTATGTTGTTTTTGAATAAATTTCGTTTTTTGCTATGATATTAGTTTACAAAACTTCACTCAATCAAATGTTTTTACATTTTTCCCCCTCCCCCCTCCCCCTCCCCATCTGTTGTTATATATATATATATATATAGTGTTATTGATTGATGTTATTATTCTTCTTCTTCTTGTTATGATTTGTTATGTTCATACCTAACCACGGCTTTGTTCTTGCAATCCAAATGCTTGGTGGGGCGGCGGAACTGGCCGAAAGCTGTTAAATTAGAAGTGGAAGTGGAATCCTGACTGCAAAGACAAACTGTTTCTCGACTAACATATATCGGCAAACATGCCGTTGCTGAATGCATCCAGCATGTACCTACTATATATACCTGGAACTTCGTTACGGCAATAGTAATTGCCGTTGTCATGAAACGTCGCCTTTTTCCGTTCTGCGGCGTTCTTCCATATTGATCTCATGGGGACGGCGCTTCTTGATGAACTGCGGCAGTTTCGGTCAGTTGACGGCAATTTTGGTCCACACATCCATGCGCCTCAAAGAGTCATTTCGTTTTAGTTTTAGTGCAGGCGAGTATGAAAACATTGTAGGGTCTTGCTTGAAAGGCAACTGAACGTAAAAGGCGTCGTATTATATCAGCAAACTCGCATAGTCATGTGAAGTGGAAAGGGCAGCTGATGGAAGTGTCACATGCTGGGTTTTCGTCGGTTTTCGCGGGTAACTCGACCTCTTGCGCGGCGTTGCAGAAGATTTTGCGTTTAAAGTTACGGCGTAATACCCGTACTTGCGGCGTTTTTCCCCGTACTTACGGCGTTTTCCCCCTACTTACGGCGTTTTCCCCCTACTTACGGCGTCGTTCCCTTACCCTGTCTAGGGTCACTCAAGGTGGCAGCAAGACTTGTCACAACATGTCACAAGCCATTGCATGATCAAAATGTGAACAAATCCTGCCGTGATGTCAATCGATACCTTAGACAAGGGCTGCAACATCTTGAGAAGTGCTACCATGAGGCTTGAAAACGATGAGCTCTACTTACAAGTGAAAAAGGAGAAGGCAATTTCAGGGTATGGACGGACCAAAACAATATTCTCTTTGGTAGATCAAACAAAACGGCGATTCTTCTTTTGTGACGGCGTTTTCACTTCTCTGACGGCGTTTACACTTTCTAGGGATTGAGCTACGGCAGAAAAAATGAGTTACGGCAAACATTATTGCCTCAGCAGCCTACGGCAAAAATTATTGCCTCGGGAGGGTCTAGGTATAGGCTCACTCCCGAAAAGAAACATGGACCCTGGGAATGCCCCCCCTGAAATAGACAGTTTTTCTACCAACCAGTGGTTGGTAGGGTCCATGTTTGTCTTCAAGGGTTCTACTACCATCAATACCCGTCCATTTTGGCTTCGCGTTGGCGGGTCTGGTTTTGAGGTCTCAGAGTCTCAGAGTCACTGGTCACTTCATTGACATTCGCCAAACAAGTTTCGACCAACGCTCAGGCTCCGTGAGAGCAGCGCGAACAGCTGTGCTGAGCGAGTCCCGCTGTTGCTTGACTCTCTGAAGTGCAAGGAAATTGCGAATCCGAGCTCAGGCATGGGAGGGTTTTGGGGGAATGTTTTGGGGAATGTCACAAGGGGTGTGAGAAGAGATACAAATAGCGTGTCTATAATAATAGGCAAACTCGGAGAAAGCATTTCACATCTTCGGGCAGGTTCACAATCTTTGGAGTAGCTGAAAGATGCTTGCCTTTTACATCCATACCCTCCAAAGAAACCTGCACTCCGGATTCATTTAGAAGGATACATTCCCATAACAGTAAAACGAGATGAGAAGAACGCCAAATGGCAAAAACGATGGCCCGGCCCTCAGGCTGGCGAGGTGTTGCTGATGTCCACCACCTGGCGGCAGGGCTTCTTCCAAACCCAAGGGTCGACGGCCTCACAATAACAGCAATGGCCTCCAACCTAATAGCGATGGCCTCCAACCTACTAGCGATGGCCTCCACCTATAGAGGAATTGAAGGGTTTTGGGCTGAAACATGAAGGACTTGGGCGTAGACCAGTCTCTGTTCTTAAACCTCTTGAAAGGGACCACTGTGGGATCTTGAGAAGGGTATCTTGTACTGATCGTATCCTCATGACCCTTCACTATTACATCATAAACAGTGATGTTTTATCCCAGAGGTGCTGCCCCCGCTGCACAAACGAAGCAACACCCGCCGTTTGTAGATCGGTCGTGGAAGACATTGCCATCCCAGGGCCGTGAACGGTCGTACCTGATATATATATATATACCTGGATGTCATAAACTAGGCTTCATGATGTCAGGATGTCTTCTAATTTAGGAAAACACATCCAAGAAACAAGACCAGAACAGCTAGGACAATCAACCAATGAACCGAAACAACAACTATAATTACATAAACTTTAATTGCATCTGTGAAATCATCCGGACTGCATGCCGTGACTTCAAACTGACATGGACTTTCACTTTAAATAAGTATAAGTAGGTTCACTCAACACAAAGGAACCTTTGGCACCTGAACACGTGTTTACTGCGTGAGCATGGCATCTGAGCTTTTCAGAGAAGATGTCACATCGGGTGGATAAAGACATGCACAGCAAATCACTTCCACACTCACTTACTCTAGTCCATGGTCGACTTGGATAAGAAACTAGGGACATCTAGTTATATATATTTTATCAGAAGCTATTCAAGTGGATCAAAGCGTAGTATAGCCTATAGCTAGCAACATGTCCCAACATGCACCGGACAAAGCAGCAACCGTAGAAATTCCCTCCATCATCAGCTCTCATCATCTTTCATCCTTCCACTGCGCCATTTATCCCACCCTCCACCCATCCCCTCCCATCCATGCTCCATTCTTTCGCGCGCGGACCATCGGTTTTCGCACTCCCCGGCGCGGGCGAAGTCGCCTCGCCTTGGGCGCAGTCGCGGGCGTCACCGCCTTCACGGCGTCCGCCGCCTTGGACTTCACCTGGCGAGGTCGTCCGTGTGGCGGGTAAGCGAGAGGTCGATCGACGAATGTGGCAGGTGAGCGAGAGTGAAGGGGTCGGCACTGGGGTCGGCTACCCCGGTCGAGCAGAGCTATGCGGAAAGAAAGGAAGTCGATTGGAAGGAAATGAATGATATGATATGGTGGGTCTGTCCTATTACTAACAGTGGATGATGGTTAGGTTGCAGGTCTTGTTCAAAAATAGTGATATTTATTTACTGACTGTTAAAGGTAATAGGACACCCCCAAATGAAATGTTATGTGAAAACAACAGGAAGAACAGCTCTGGACATCGGTTTTAAACTCTTGATCTCTGCGTTGAAGCCGGGAGAAGCTTCTGTTGAACACAGGGTACTTCTGTTGAACCCAAACATCTGCAGTTGGGAGAAGCAAGCCTCATTTTAAGAACATCAAATACATATATTATATATACAAATACAGCGTTTTGCCTTTTTGGAGCTCTCCGGTGTGCCAGCCGGGATTCTTTAGATCCATCCTTGCCAGCTCATCCCATCAATCCCGTCCTTGCCAGCCAGGCCATAGATTCGCACCAGGATGACCACCAAGCAGGCCAACAGGAAGGCGCAAAGGTTGAAGACGGAGGAGCCTGGTGGTGGATCACGCTGGATCACGCATGCGGATGCATAGGTGCGCCAACATGGGTCGACATCACGCGAAGCAACAAGAAATGGATGTAAAGCTCAAAGAGTGCTTGCTAAGGCTTAACACCTGGGGATATCATCTAGATACAAACTCACGCTCAAAAAGAAACAATCAACCAAAAGCCTTCAAATCCCGTGTCCCTGAGTCGTATCTTCTTCTTTGATGATACCAAGTCCAATTGAACATATGCACACACTCTCACAAACACTTCACATGGAAGGGGACATTTGCGTATTGGAGGACTGCTTTCCTCTTACAAACAGGTTGGTTACCCTCTGTCAGAATGTACCAGCAACACCAACGAAAACTACTCCATTCCACGCACCTATCTGAACAACAACACAGCCGCCGCCGCTGCCGCCAACATCAGCAACAGCAACATTCATCAAGACCCCAAGCTAGCTCGTATAGTTCATTAGGACATGCTCTCTAGCTGTAATTTAGTTTAACAAAGCTCTCTCTTTGAGATTGCGCTCCATCATTGCAACACAATTGTTCCAACACATTCCAACCACATTGTTTAAAAAGAAGCCCTGCAGAGGCACCAGGCACGGCAAATCGCTCGCGATTTCCGTGTGCAACAGCCGTCCAAACCAATCGACAGCGAACGGACAGCAGCGAAGGCCTGCAGCGATCTGTCCCAAGAAGATCACAATCACTGCCAAGGCCTGCACAGAGCTGCTGCGCCTAACCCGACGTGGACTGACCTGAGATCACCCAGTGACTCAGGACGAGGACTCGGGACTGACCGGGACTGACCGATCAATTGGAGTTGAAAAGGAGTCGTATACTACAGTTATATATATGTATATACACATACACATACATCTATATGATACGCGGAGTCTTTGGGTATGGGAAGCATCGGTGTTAATTTGGCACAGCTCTGTCCTCGAAAACAACTTCCGGTGGAGCTTCGAATGTTGTTCCTTCTAAGGGAAGAAACACTCACATGTATATGTACTATTGGCGCTCATGTATATGTACTCTGAAGTTGTGTATTACTAGGCATGTGTACTGAACATGATCCTTGACAACACCACCCTGCACTTCTATGATTTGGCACAGAGCTCTGTCCAACCAAATGCCTACGGAGGAAAAGACCTCTGCAACAACAGGCCTCACCCACATTCTTCTGAATACCGTCCAATGACTTCAGCAAATAGAGCGTGATCCTCAGAGTTTAGCTCGAGAGTTCCGCTTCGGGGAGCTGAAGGTGAAGAGGAGCTGGGCCGCGACCGGGTCTATTCAGGGTCTATCCTGTTTCGGGCAAGGAACATCAAAGGCCCAGTGACGAAAACGTCTTCAGGAATATGAATGCTAACAAATAAAATTTGTTGGTCACCTAGGTCACCGATATTGTTACAAACACACATACAAATATTCAACAGTTGCACAATTTTATACGTATTCTTTATATACTAGACTCTAGTATCTCTAGTGAGATAGGAGTTGTGGAGCGTAGGGGCATAGATGGCAAGTACTCATCAAAGCCTAGTATATATCATATCAAGCAATAGAACACCTGCAAGAAGTCCCAAATAACAAAGAACACATCCTTCCTGCTGGATCCAACGTCCGCGGTCTGCATCTCCTGTCGGTACCCGAGCTTCTTCTTCCACGGTGGGTGGATCCCTGGAAATCCAGGGGTACATACACATACACATACCAGGTATCCACCTATCACATACCAGGTGACCCTGGTGGATCCCTCATACCAGGTATCTAATGCGGCCCCTCCTCTTGTTTCACCAATCGGTCTGTGCTCTCCGATTCCGGAACCCAGCGAACGACCTAGCTTGTCATGCTAGCTAGACCCGCACGACCGTGTCATGCCGACCTATTTGCATGTACCAGTTTATGCATGTGTATGATATCATGGTGGTGTCGCTTCTGTTTATCTTGGATTGGCTTACATCAATCAAAGCTAAGTGTCAAAGACTTTGAGGTGAAGGACAAGGTCACAACCCAGGTGGCCAAAGTCAAGTGATCAAAGAATCCAGCCGCACTCCACTCATAAGATGGCTGCACGCTCGGTTCCATGACGGCTGCAATGCCCACGGAAGCAATCACACGAGAAAGAGACATCAAGGAAAGCTTGGCCGACATGGACATGTTGCTGAA